CTTTCTTTGAGAAAGACCATCAACTTACTAGGGCAAGTTGTCATGAACTGCTCCATTAGCATTCTGTCCCGGAGCGCCTCGAAAGTCTTCTCGACACCTGCCACTTCGATCCACCTGTCGAAATACCCCGTCAACCTGGCTGCAAACTGTTTTCTTGTTTCCCCATCTCCGGGCTTCGCCTCACGAAATCTTTCGCGATAACCTTCTTTTGTATACCGAAATCTTTGAAGCAGCGCCAGTTTCATCTTTGTATAATCCATTGCATCCGCAGGGGTCATGCGAGCGACCACCGTCAGGGCTTCTCCTGTGAGACAAAGACTTAAAGTGGTTGCCCACTTGTCTTGTGGCCATCCGAGGCCTGTGGCCGTACGCTCAAACCTCTGCAAATACGCGTCAAGGTCGTCGCGCGTCTCATTATACTGCGGTATCAGTTTGTGTGGACTGGCGCTATGACTTGGTCTAGTCGAACCGCGTTCTCCTCCTTCCCCTCGCGCTTCGCGATTTCCTCTTTCCTGGGCAGCGATTCTGAGTTGTAGAACTTCCCGCTCCTTATCCAGTCGGACACATTCCGCCTGACATGCGCGTTCTTGCGCCGCGTGCTCTTCTCTTGCCGCCTCCCGTGCCTGCAGCCTTTCCTCTCTTTGAATATTTTTCTCCCTCTCAACCCAGACCTTCAGCTCCTCTCCAGTGTATCGTAGTTCCCTTCCAGCCGCCATCAATTTATCAATCTCTACAACCCCGGACCCAGTCATGGTCGCGAACTCTCTCCTCCGGACCAACGAGATCAGGCTAATGGATTAATGGAATCCTGGCAAGCTCGCCAAATTGTTATCGTCAACCGGGAAAAGAGAGAAACGACGTCCATGAGTGGTTCAAACACAGAAATGATATATTTACAAGAAGGAAGATAGGAACGTGTCAGAAGCGATACAATAGGAAAAGAATTAGCAATAAGAAAAGCAAAACGCTGAAGGCAGTCAAAGTCACGTCTACACACTCATAGCCCGTTCCCGCTACCGTCCTTGCCTTAGGTTCAAGTCTTTCCCCTCGGTGCCTTGCGGAGCGTCACCGCTTGATGTGATGATGCGGAAGCCGGTGTCTCGTACTCCCCCTGGAGTTGCTCGTAGCAGGCGTCGCCGTCCGTAGCGGCTGGTCCTCCCTCCGAGCTTTGGTCGTCGCCGTGCGTCGCGGCCCGACCCTGGCTTTCACTGCTCCTCCTCCTCTCGCGCCCGCCGTTTCCTTCTCGCGCTCGCCGTTCTCTGCTCGCGCTCGCCGTTCTCTGGAACGCGCTCGTTCCCTTCCGCTTCTTTTCTTCTTCCACCCGTAATAATCGTCACAGGCACGTGACAGTTACCCTTACGAGGGTCACGAGAGTTACCCTCACGAGGGTCACGAGAGTTACCCTCACAAGGGTTACTAAGGTTACCCTCACGAGTGTCACGATGGTTACCCAGGTCACGTGACCTCCCCACCTCCCAGGGTCACGTGACCCCCTCCCCCCGAGGTCACGTGACCCCCGTTGACGTCACCGCCACTAAGGACGTCATCTCTGACGTCACTGATGACGTCACCGTCATCCGCATCGTCATCGTCCTCATCACTGATGACGTCATTAGTGACGTCACCGATGACGTCACCGGCATCCGCATCGTCATCTTCATCGTCACCGGAATCCGCATCGTCATCATCACTAATGACGTCATCAGTGACGTTGTGACGGAGTGTATTACCGACTCATTCGGTGCTGTGCGTGCAGGCACGTGTGTGTGTGTGTGTGTCCCACCGTGGGCGTTCGCGCCAGATTACAAAGAATCCTCGCCTCGCGGCCAAGAGGAGAACCAGGGACGGCGCCAGGATCTTCATAATGGGGGGCAGTGGGGAGGCGAACCAAATTGGCGGGGGGGGGGGGGGTGCTCTGAGGTGCTGTCGCCCACGGGCTTATCGAAGATAGCTTATGCGGTGTGCTCTATGAAAAGGGAAATGCGGAGACACGAGAAGGAAGAGTTGGGGGGGGGGGGATGCTCAGACTCCCAACCAGGTTTTGCTTCCCTTTCTGAGACAGTGCGGAATTCCCCATGACCTCGACTTTAACTAAGCTCCCCGTCGTTCACGTCTCCGGTCTCCGCTAAGATAAGCACCACAGAGCGGAATACGGAGAGAAAAGTTAGCAGGCGTCACAAAGGGGAGCTGCTTTTTCTAAAGCGCTTGACAGCTTAAAGGGGAACTCCGCCGTTTTCTTCATAGTCCCCGATTTGCCTAAAAGCTTGCTAGACACACCAACAAACATCGCTGAACTAGTAACCCAAATATTTGGACAAAATAACTTTTTTTCATGCAGTTACAGAATTTACAATTTTGGACCTCATCGTGTTTTTCAAAGTGAAAAGCTCTACGGGCAACATTGAAAAAGTGACGTCATGGTTGGGTAGGAGTTCACTCTTTGGGCTGTAGACTTTGTTCACATCCGATTACAAACAGTTTCATGGTGTCAAATGAATGCTCTGGAAGGTCGCTCCAGCTCCCGCGCAGCAGCACGATACAAATGCTCGGCATAGTTCATATTTAGACTGCCCGCTCGAACCGCAATCCAGCCCAACCGTGACGTCAGGACAATGAAAAGCGCGGGTATATTCGAATCTTCGTTTTGGCGTCGTTTTCATTTGCCGATTTCACAATAACTATTCTGAATTTCGCGATACTAAATAGCATACCGAAAAGAGTAACGCACGGCGATTTCGAATATATGGTTAGTTGGGGTTGCTCAAAATATCGCCGGAGTTCCCCTTTAAGGCCCGTTCACACTCTTGCAACCGAGTGCGACCGAGAGAGACCAAACCGGTTTTTAAGCCTCTTGCGATCTCTTAGGACCAGCTCCGCTCAGTGCATCCGGTCCCAAGAAGTCTTTCTCGGTCGTACTCGGTTGCAAGAGTGTGAACGCGCCTTTACTCGCTCGCGGTACGACTTCCAGTGGGTAGACGTTAATAGAAAAAAAGGGTAAATTAAAGGCATGCACTGCTCTAAAGTCTGGACACTCGTTACACTGGGTCTTTAAGCCGACGTCGTTGGTAATTATTTGTGAACAAAGCTGCTTTATCTTGGGGTGGCAGAAGAAATTTTAGGGGATGCGCCCGCCACCCCTCGCCTCCCGTTGGCGCCGTCCCTGAGGAGAACAGCTGACAGCGATGCTGTCAGCTGCTTGCTGACAGCATCGCTCTTCAGCGGGCGCCGATGGAGAGGGGTCTCCCTCGGAATACGTCAGTGCGTCTCTCAATGCGTTGCTGGTACTGTAACCTGGTCGGCCATAGAATAAGAGAGTGCGGAAGTAGAATCGAGAATGAAAGGGGCTCACTCTCGAACTCCGCACAAGAGGTACAGCAGCCCCACAGGAACGAAGAAGGAGGAAAGGCCGCTTCGGGAGGGCCCCACGGGCAGGGAAACTAACAGGTCCCCTTCGGAGCGACACCGGCGGAGGGAGAGAAATAAACGTGGCCATTAAGTTTTGCGGAGAGAGCAGACCGGTGGTGGCGGAAAATATTGGAAAAATGGAGCTACGTTTTCTGAGGGACACCGGGTCGAAGGTCAGCCTCGTTAAAGAGTCCGTCTTCAGGGAACTGAGTCAGAGTGGTCGCACGTTCAACGATCACCTCGGGGGCACGCGCACGCGGTTGACAGGCATAACAGGAAAAGAGCTGGAGACCCGTGGTTGCTATCTCATACCACTTGAGATCGAGAAGACCTCGTTCTGCCATTCGTTTTTTATCTGCAACGACAGCGCGATGATCCCCGTGTCCGGACTCCTGGGGCACGATGTTGTGCGCGCCCACGGCTTGGACCTGCTGACCACGAAGGGGTGGTTGTGCTCGACGGGGAAGAGGTTCCGATCTTGAACTGGTCACCATCGCAACCTGTGCGGGGTGTATGCTCTGCTGAGACACCTGTCATGTTGGTGTCGGAGTGCGTCATTCCACCAAGGACCGAGATTATCGTGGCTAATAAGCTCCGGGGGAACCCGCCCCGCGGTGCACTGGGTGTGGTGGAGATGGTAGAGATTGAGCCTCATGGGCTTCTGGGGGTTGATTCTCTGGCGCGCGTAGATCAGAGGGGACGTGTGCCGGTCAGGATAGCAAATCTTACGTTGTCTGAAATGCGACTGCCCAAGAACAAACGGGTTGGAGTCTTTGTTGACGTAGAATTTGCCCCACAACTTGAGGAGATGATACTGAGTTGCGACACGGTCGACGGCATGTCGGAGGTTGCTTTCGTGGGAATGTTCGAGCTGTCCCACGTCCACTCCGGGGAGAGAAGAAGGACCGCTCAGCTCCTGTGGAAGTAGCGGGCGGCATTTGCCTTAAAGGTGCCCTCCGGAGCTTTCTGCGATCGTCTGTTTATGTTGTTAAATTGCGTAGTAGGTGCAAGTTAATATGTATACAAAGTTTTAGAGTACAAAACCGTTTATTAAGTAAATGGCAGTAGAAATATATCGTTACTATTTCCTCTTGAAAGACAATCGCCCATTCCCTGGCCATCGCTAAAACTTGACCAATGGAAATGCTGCATCTCGCGGTGAATGCGAACGTTATTATTGCAATACTTTTTAAGCTTGTTGTAAATTAGAGTTTGAGAAAAACGTAAACTGATTGTGGTGCGGGAAACATAGTTTGCAATTATCGTTCCAAAGCCAGCGAACTATGTTTTCTCCCCGCAAGCTTGTTGCTAGGGTGTGATGCGTCGGCGCGTCGGGTCGTCTGCTTCCCGGGGCGTGTGCAAGCGTGCGTTTGCGACACACGTGTTCCTTCTTCCCGTGGATCCCGACTCCGAAGCCAGCTTTGCGATCCTTCCACGTGAATGAGTCAAACTTTTCCTTGTCATCTGTGGAATGCGACTGCGTATTGCAGTAGTTTCTTTTATCCTTTGAGTGAGCCATTTCCCTGAAATGCCGAACGTTTGTTTCGTCAAGACGTGCCGCCATCAAACTGGGAAGAACGTTCGCAAGGGCTTGCGAGTCTTCTCTTTGCCGGAGAAAGAACCACGAAGGACTGCGTGGTTACGCTGCGCCGGGCGAGGGCACGACATCGAGAACCTGCCTCTCATTCCCCGTTTTTGTGCCGAACATTTCGAGCCGACTGCTTTCCGAAAGGACGACCTGCGTCGTTCCCGTCTTCGATCAGATGCTCTGCCGACGCTTCTGCTTCCCGTCGCCGATGAGACCGACGATCCTCCCCCAAAGCGCCAAAAAGTCGTGGTGAGTTTTTCGATGGCTCAAATATTTTTGGGAGTGTCACGAACATGGCATTCTGCGTTGCGCAGTGCGGCTGCTTCTGGCATCTGTATTCTGAACTAAGAACAGAGGAGGCATTTGTGTAACATGGGAATCCACATGGCATTCGTCAAGTCGATCAGTGGTGCCTAATGTTCCGGACTAGCGGTTCGAGAGCTTATCGCGCGAATGGTGCGGTGCATGGGGTTCTTCATTTTCGGGTTTTATATTTTTCAAAAATCGGGGGGTAAAAATCGGGCGCTATTTTTCCGGGCGATAATCGGGAAGAAATCGGGTTTTTCCAGAAACCATTCCGAAATTCGGATTTTTTTTTCGGGATTTCTTTATCAATTACAAATACGTGCAATGAGTTATTTACATGAACAAAAGTGAACAAAAGTAAACAAAATATATTATATAGGCATAGGATATGTTTCTACCTTCTGATCGCCTCTGAAGTGAATCTTTGCGGAGGTCACGCAAATCGAAGAAAATTGTAACCATCAACTGATGACCAAGGAAACACCGTTTAAACAGATCCAGAATGGTTCATATTTTCTATCAAGTCAGGTGATTTCAACACTGCTTTTCGGGGAGAAATCGGGTTTAACCTGATTTTCATCAGAACTATTCGGGGGAGAAAAATTAGGTATTATCGGGTTTTACCCGAAAACGAAGAACCCTATCAGCATGCACCACCAGGATCGAACTCATTTGTAAAAGAAAACATGAACAAATAAGATAAGAGGACAGAGTCATAAATCGCCTCTAATGGTACCACCATCACAACCCCCCTCTGCTATTGACCCACCCGAAGTCAATAAATGTTTTCCCAGCTTGTTTACAGACAGGAACCCTTTCGTATCAGGTTAGAAAAGTTCCAAGTGTCCGTGACTACTAACAAGCAGGTTTTCTTTTATATCTACTCTTGTGAGCAAACTCAGTTTTTTTTTTCTTCTCACAATCCTGCACCCACGATTGCGTGCAAACCCGCGTTTGCAAATTTGTATGCACATAGCAAATGCACACCATGATTTTGTTGCTTGGTGGCACTTCTGGACACTGAGAACTCATGGCAGTCGCTGTATGTTTCCCACTTGCGGCTATAAGTGCTCGTTGGTTGCATTTCCTTCAGTGGTTGGTAAATACATGTCAAGCTGCAGCTTTACATATGTATGTAATGTGACATCATATCGCGACATGAACATTTATTGTTGCTGAGCTAGAGACTGAAAATATAGATGGTGATGTAAGTTATAAAAACAAATATAAAGAATGAGGCATCCCTTAGATTTGTATTACAGTGAGAGCTTTGGTTGAGTGCATGAAATTCTAAGCTATGGAAAGGCTACAAAACAATTCATGGATGTTTGCCATCAGCTAAAAAACAAGGCATCATGGATGTTTGCCGCGGTGACGGCATTGTGTGGAGTGCTCGAGTTGCACCCTTCAACCTTAAAAATATGAAATGTGTAATAAACAGTGCCCATTGCAGACTCAGGCCTCGGCAACTGGACTGCCTGCACCCTGCGAGGCAGAAATGACCCTCAGGGACTGTACTGCTGAGACAAACATCCCTGCAGTGGTGCCACCTGTCCCTGTCGCAGACGTGCCTGCACAGTCGCATCCACCCGAGTCTGCCTTCTCCACTTGTAGCAGTGGGGTGCCATATGAATGCACATCTCCTGTTCCCAGCAACATGCCAGACTCTGACGCAACCTACTCTCCGTCTCACAGCGAGGATTACGAGAGGTAAGTTGTGCATATAAACACATAGAATCTGTAAAGAATGCTTCAAATGATCCCATTTCAGAATCGAGCATGGTGCATCAGCTCCACCACCACCACCAGAAGAAGAGCGCCAGTTTCTGGTGTTCGAGAGCTGCCTAAGGGAGCTTTTCAAGACGTGCCAAGAGTGCTCAAGACTGTGCTAAACAACGATCGAAACTACCGGCACACTGATCACAGTCTGCAGCATCTGCCCTGTGGAGCACGTGCGCACATGGAAAAGCCAGCCCATCGTCAACGGCAGACCAGCAGGGAACATACTGCTGACCAGCCACCTGGTCTTCTCTGGAGTGAAGATTGCCCCTACGCTGCGGATGCTACGCCATATGAACGTGCAGGTCATCTCCGACTCGAGCTTCTACGAGCATCGGAAGGCCTTCGCTCTACCTGCAATCCACAAGGTGAGCAATATTCCGGGACACTGCAGCTGCATTTTTCTCCCATATACCCAATTTTCCAATGAGGTACAAAACTGGAGCCCCAGTCACACTTCGGTTAAATGAATAAATATCTTCTTGTAGTATGCCACTTCAATGGTATAGTGCTAAGAGATAAAATTTTATACATCATGTTACATATGTGCCATGGGCTACTAAATCCACGATACTTCAAGTTATTTCTGCTATGTGTAGTATCCTGGGGCAGTTCCCTGTCTGGCATTGGGTTGAGTGAGTCAGGTTCCCCGTGAGAGTCAAGAGACAGAGGGTGGTTGTTAGAATGGAAAAGGGTAGGGCAGCTTCGAGGTAACGGGCGGCCTGCTGCCTCTTTTATGAAATACACAAACATAAAAACACAAATCACAACCGAGCACAATCTAAGTCACATTCAAACTCGCTGCATTGTGCTTTCCTTTTTCTTTCACTCAGTCATTCATTCTACAACACTACACTATGCATACATAAACAGATGGGACTATTGTAGTATGCTCCATGCCTTTCTAAAGCAATATTTATCTGCATGAACAGGTCTGGCTGCAAGAGCAACAAGAACTTCTCAACGAGTTGCAGAACAAAGAGGTGGACATCTCTGCTGACGGGAGATTTGACTCCCCTGAGTTCTGTGCCAAGTACCTGACGTACACAGTCCATGTCGAGCAAATCAACAAGATTCTACACTCTGTCCAGGTCCAGCTAAAAGAGGCAAGTAGTCAGATTTACGTGAACCAGTTGCAACAATCTCATAATCTTTCCCTTGTGTTATGTCATCAGTTACTTCACTGCTATGCACTATTTTGGTAAAATATTCATTTCACACCTTTTTTTAGTCTGAACAGGCCATGGCCAGTGTCAACATGGAGAAGGAGGGCCTCCTCAAGCAGCTGCAATTCTTCAAGGAGAAAGGTATGTTCATGCTTAGTTCGTGTATATCACTACTCGGCGGCCTTTCAGGCACTCTGTTCAAATTGGCATAATCACTTATTCTTTTGCTATCTTCGGAAACCTAATGGTGCAGGTATCAAGATCCGATCGTTGGTGACTGACCGTCACCCTGCCACACGAAAGCACATGAAGACGCACGAACCCGGGATTGACCACTTCTTTGACATATGTAGGGTTCCGCGTTTTCGGTTTCTATTTTTTCCAAATTCGGCGTACTTTTTTCGGTGTTTATTTTAAAATTCAATTTTCGGTTTTTTTCGGTGTATATTTATGCCCACAAACGTTTATCGGCTTTTTTCAGTGAATATAAAATAAACACCAACGGACGCCGAATCAGATGACCCTTGCAGCTCTGATAATTGTAATCATTCAAAGAATAACAGCACAGATATATTGTAAAAAAAAAATGAACACTTTATTTGGCAAATGTGTGTAACTGTAAAAGAAACAAGAAAAAAAAAAACACAGAAATACAAACAAGTCAGATATGAAGCCCTATGCCTAAAAAACATCCAACTTCACCTTCTGTACATCAGGACTACGTGATCTTTTTATAGTACACGCACATGTACTTTCCCAGGTTCTCCTCATTCGTCCGCACTCTTTCTTTCCTGTTAATATTACCCTGAGAATGCCCTCTTAGCGCTAACACTGGACACTGAGAGGCTGAGGAGACGAAGCGCTGCCTAAGCCAAAATCGGCCAATCAACCAATTGTGACCGCCAAAAGAGATACGGTGCGACGTTTTGAAGCACAACACAACATGCAGAGCTTGCATAAAGTCAGTGTTCTTTACAACGAGTGTGAAAACACGCTCGTACATGGCGAAGTCATGGGGCATTTCGGACTTCACGTTCCGACCGATGATGCGCACATTAAACCAAAACGTCGTGATGGCATCCGTGTATCCCATACATCGGGACACGTTTCGATAGACAGTCTTTCCACTTTTTCGCCACGGCTCTGCGGTACGACTGGAAGGTCAAACTAACCTTTCCCGATTAAAATCTGATTTTGGGAAAATAGATTCGACGTACTTTTATCGGTTTAAATTGAAAATGCCGAACCTAAAACTGACCTTTTTCGGTTAAAACCGAATTTCCGAAAATGGATTCGGCGTACTTTTATCGGTTTTTATCGGTTTAAACCGAAAACTCCGAACCCTAGACATATGGCACATCTCCAAAAGTAAGCAATCCTAACAGGCCATTCGTGTAGCTTTTATTTTCCAGCGATCACGCTGCAGGTTTCCCTGACACGACTCTGAATTTTAGGTGTGAAAAAGAAGCTGACAGCAGCAAGCAAACGGGCTGGATGCCAAGACCTGCAAATCTGGATCCAGACAGCTACAAACCATATGTACTGGTCAGCAAGGGCTGCAGGAGGCGACGAGAAACTGCTCATCGACATCTGGCTCAGCATGCACAACCATGTCATCAACAAACACTCGGGGCACGAAGGAACCTATGGAAGGTGCCTCCATGGTGACATGCCAGAGCCAACACGACCATGGATGGATCCCAGTATGTTTTTGTTCTTCCAAATGAAGGTGGTTTTTCTAAAACATGTATCATCCTCAGACTCGCAGGCCTACAACCAATTCAAGAGCATCACTGGCAACAAACTGCTCCTGAAGGACCTTGCACAGATGTCTCCCCATGGCCAGACATATGCTTCGGAGGCGTTCTACAGCGTCCTGATAGACTTTGCCCCGAAGTCCCAGGCTTTCAGCCCAGAAGGCATGCTTGCAAAGTAAGTCAACCAATTTACAATCACATTTCCTTTGTTTGGACACTTTCATCCAGTCCATTGTTTACAATGCAACAAACCTGACAGTCTCTTCCTAATGATCAGATAATGGAATTGGATTGATGCCAGAATAACCACTCTTTGTAAGTGGCACACTTTACCATCACTGAAATGTAACCATCTTGCAGGACTCGACTTGCAATCCTCCATTTTAACGAAAACTCAAACCGCTGCCAAGCCGTCACACGAGAGGGCAAGCCACGTTGGTCGGTCGTAACATCAAAAGCACGAAAGGGCCACCACACAGCACGACCAGAGATTACGGATCCCACTTACAGTGAGTATAACACTAACTGCAGTGTGAATGCCTTGTCCAGAGAGCCTAGGAATGTTATCATGCAAAGGTTTGAATTTTAGAGTATGTTGGAAAGCTCATCAAGGAGGCAATGGAGAGCAGCAAACAGTGGCGGTCCCTGGCTGCTGCATCGAAGGCCAACACCGTCGTCTTCCCGGCAGCGATGACTGCAGCCTACACAAGGCCTCCAAAAGAGGAACTCGTGGCAGCACGAATGTCCAGGTTCGGCCAGAGTCCCCAGTAACGGCATCAAATTTCTGGTCGGGACTTCCATGCTGCCGCAGGTAAGCACACAGGACCTTGGTCCTAATCAGGGTGCAGGATAAGCAGGTGGGGAAACGGCCCATAGAAGCCTACCGCAGCGCCGTGACCGGATTGTGTACTCGTCTGCTTGTGGGTACCCCCGATTTGCAACAGATGGCGCTGCGGCGAGAGGAAAAAAACCGGAATCGGATTTGCATGGAACTTTATGGGAGAGTGCGCAAAATAAACAGAGAGCACGACAGTCTTTATTGAAAATCCACGAGAAACCATCTCCGTCAGTTTAGCCAGTCGCCACCGGTCGCCCACCTGGAGTGAGAGTTTGCGGTGCTCCACATCGATGGCGCCACAGAAAAAGAGAAAACCGAGGGGTACACAATCCGGTCGCTCATTTGGCTCTCGTTTCCCCACCTGTCTATCTTACACCCTGGTCCTAATACAGCCTTGCATGGTACGCAACCGCTTTGTTTTGCAGGACGTACGGCGAATGCAGACCCAAGAGAAAACAGCCGAGCTGCAAAATGGTTCACCATTTTCCATTAGGACACCCTGACCGACAGTAAGGAGGAAGTTAGATCTGTCTGCAATCATTTTTCACAGAAATGCAGATCTCTCCTCATGAGAATGTTCCATTTTAGGGCCTAATCAAGCTGGTCATGGCATGACTATCTCAAAAGAGGGCAAGGAACTTTAGCCGGTGGCAATGTCGGAGTCACAGAAAAGTCACCAAACAGCGAGACTCAAGGCTACAGTCAACTTGCGGTGAGGACGACACTAACTTCAGTGTGAACGCCCATCTAGCACAACTTGGAATGTCTAGGAGTGTAATTATGCAACCATCTGAATTGTCACTGTAGGTTGGAAAGTCTGTCAACGAGGCGGACAGCAGCAGGCAGCAAAGACCTGGTTGGATCTTTCATGCTGCCAGTGGTAAGCACACAGGAGCCTCGTCCTAATGAAAACTACCATGGTAGGCAATAACCGCTTTGTTTTGCAGGACGTACGGCGAATGCAAGCAGACAGACCCAAGAAAAAACAGCCGAGCTGCAAAATGGATCATTGTTTTCCGTTAGGACACCCTGACCGACAGTAAGGAGGACATTAGATCTGTCCGCAATCATTTTTCACAGAAATACAGATCTCTCCTCATGAGAATGTTCCATTTTAGGGCCTACTCAAGCTGGTCATGGCATGCCTATCTCAAAAGAGGGCAAGTAACTTTAGCCGGTGGCAATGTCGGAGTCACAGAAAAGTCACAAAACAGCGAGATTTAAGGCTACAGCTCAACTTGCGGTGAGGACGACACTAACTTCAATGTGAACGCCCATCTAGCCCAACTTGGAATGTCTAGGAGTGTAATTATGCAACAGTCTGAATTTTCACTGTAGGCTGGAAAGTCTGTCAACGAGGTGGACAGCAGCAGGCAGCAAAGACCTGGTTGGATCTTTCATGCTGCCAGTGGTAAGCACACAGGAGCCTCGTCCTAATGAAAACTACCATGGTAGGCAACCGCTTTGTTTTGCAGGACGTACGGCGAATGCAAGCAGACAGACCCAAGAGAAAACAGCCGAGCTGCAAAATGGATCATCGTTTTCCGTTAGGACACCCTGACAGACAGTAAGGAGGACATTAGATCTGTCTGCAATTATTTTTCACAGAAATGCAGATCTCCTCTATTGATAATGCTTGATTTTAGGGCCACGATCAAGCGTAATGGAGAGATGCAAGCATTGGCACCTGCCCTCTCAAGCCGGATTTTTCAAGCCCAGCATGGTGCACCTCTATTGTTGGCACATCAGTGCCAACAGTAGAGGAATTAGGAGATGAGGACAGGCCAGTGCTATAATTCTTCCCAGTCCATTAGCTGTAATTAGGGTTCTGCGTTCTCAGATAAACCTGATAAACTCCAAAAAACACTAGCCGTTAAAATATTGCTGATTCAGATTCATTTGAAAAACTCAATTTTTCGCTCTGCCAGCTGTTATAAGCCCCACCAGTCTTTATATTTCCCGGAATCTTCGAACAATTTTTGCAATTCTCCTCTTATTGCAGTGTCAACTTCCGTTGCCGTGTAGCCCCTTATAATAAAAATGAGGTAGGCCCTCTACGACAGTAGATGAATACGGCTCTCATATGAAAATGCTGCTTTACTAAATTCACAAACTGCTGCTTTCTACCTTTCATTTGCCTCATCGAAAATGCCGAAAGACTCCGAACTTTGCGTACATAAATGGAAGATCCAAATTGATGGTTCAAAAAAAAAAAAAAACACCCTCTAATTTTGCTAAAAAAATTAAATTCAAGAACGCAGGATCCTAGCTATAATTTGTGCAAGCTTTCAAGATCGAGGAAATCGGTGACCGTATTGTCATAGTCATTGTGGGCACACCACAATGAAGGCGGATCAAGTTCTATTTTGAATAGCATGTAGTTCTGCACCAGAGATCCCATCCCCAGTTCACAAGCTTAGCCCATCGCAGCAGTTTTAGAAAATTGAAGCATTTTCGGAACCCAACCGACACTTTTCTGAAGAGTGTAACACAATGCCTTATCCATCTTTCTTTTCATGTACTTATGAGCGGACATGCTGTGGAGACTGCACCGAGGCGGGGCAGCCCGCCCGTGTTTCCAATAAATGGGGTTTTCATCCAGGAGGTAGGCTGGTAATGCAGCAATAACATAAGTGGGGTGGTTGCATATAACACTGGAAATATTAACAGAAGTTTTTTATGGCAATTTAAAAACTGCTGCATTTTCCAGTCTACACCACGGTTTTCCCCCCGTCTGCAACATTTGTCTTCTGTCATTATTGACCTGCTTGCAAATAAGTAAGGCACATTTGCTAACCTTACGATTGAAATAAACTGCATTAATTTTGCAACAACTTGACTTCTCGGTACCAGAACCTGGAAGGTGTAGAAATTTGCATGACCAAAAGGAAATAATTTCATAATTGAAAACAAGTGATGCCGATGGTAGTACTAATTTTGTGATCCCCTGGATGATTTCTGCATTGTGAGGTCAATACATGGGTCGATGTAACTAGAATACTGCACTATGCCTAACTAAAAACCCGACCGAAATTGTGCCATTTCCTCAAAGTATTTGCATGATGTGAGGGTATACTTGCCAATTATAACGACAATATAAACTAACAATCGTAGTATTCACTGAAATATATAAGCAGATCCTATTTATCACCGGGAGGAAAAATCCAGGGTAACTGGGCTGTGGAGGCATAGAATATTCCATGCAGGGGATCTATTGTGCATGCTCAAAAAGCATTCCACAGCCAAGTAAAAAAAGGATTTCGCAGAAGGCTTGGACTGGAAAAGTCTATACTAGAGCACATGTTGAGAGTACAGTAATGAAATGTAGGTTGGCAATGAATTCTAAATAAAAAAAGTAAAACAATTTACAGCATGCCTATAGTCGGTGACAGGTCAAGAACGAAGTGGAAGCTCCTCCCACCTCTTTCCACTTTAGTAGAGCGAATGCTGGAGAGGAGGCGACCTCCTCTCCGTCGTTCGCCGCACTGAAGTGGAAAGGTGTGGGAGGAGCTTCCACTTCGTTCTTGACCTGTCACCGAGTATAGACACCCAAGCAGAACGTCATTTGTTTGTCATGTTAGCCACGTCGTCATCCAGACCCTCGGAACAATCGACCACGTCCCTCTGAAAACTGCAGCAATCGCAATTCGCCTTTCTTCGCCTCATCGCACCGGCACGCTCAGACGGCTGATGTAGGGAAGCATCTTGTAGCTTCATGCAGTCAGATTTTTCCAGGTTATATGCAGTTTGCCCATTTGAAAGAACAGATCCAGAAGAAAGTAGAAGTACACTGCACAACACTGTTAGTGCGAACATGACATCGGTGCTTTTTCTATCTTTACTTTAAAATGGTATTAGTGGGTGCCAAATTCTACTGCTTAGGTTAGTGTTCTAAATGAGCACTTCTCACGCCCTAGTAGTTTTGATGACAGCCTTTGGATTCTAGGAGGAAAATGAAGCAATCCGGTCGTGCGACTCAAATCAAATTTGGGGGTTTTACGTGCCAAACCAACGACGGGCATCTGGCACGCCCCAGCGGAGGACCGAGGATTAATTTCGACCACCTGGGGATCTTTTGACGTGCAATCGAAAGCTCGATTACCAAGCTGCCTTCTCCGCAATAAACCTCCATCAGATTGCAGGCACCTCGGCCGGGATTCGAACCCGCCACATGGGGATCCGTAGGCCGGCACTCTCGCCTCGGAGCCACCGAGGCAGCTTCGTCGTGTGACTGAATGCGACGTAGGTGCACTGGCTTTGGTTTGACTACGATCATGTGATCATAGTTATGGTCATGTGATATCATAGATAATAGGTCACGTGATTTAGAGGATTCCGTTCATGGCTACGAGCGACTTCACACACATGCAGGGAGGGTGAAGAGACAAGGGAAGGGGGTTGCGTAATCTCTAGGTCAACGCAATTTATTCTGCATCCCTGTAGCCCGCATACACGTCAGCAGGGTACCTGCCCCTAATTGTCTTGACCTCACAGGATGGCAGGGGCTGCCTATTCTTCTTTCCCAAGCGGCTCCACAGCCACAGGGCACACTGCCTGTAGGCTGCAAATCTGTAGTGCCTGGAACAATGACAGAGATTGGATGTAAGAAGCAAAGCCTATCACTCTGTTGGCAAATTCTACACTTGTTTTCATTTCTCTAGGCATGTAATCATACTCTGCTTTTCTGTTACGTCCACTCCAGCTATCACATAGCAGAATCCCTATTTGGCAGTCCATGTCGGATGGGCTAGACATGGAAGCCAAATTGAAGTGAACTGCTGTAGATTCATTCTAAATGCTCCAGAGTTAAAAAAAACAACAAAAAAAAACTATAGGCCTTCGTTCTCCCAACGCACCTCCAACTCCAATCGACACAACAACCAGTTATACACCGGAATTAACAAGGAAGGAATATCTGTTGCGTGGTCATGATACATAAAATAAGTTC